CGGTTTTTGAAGTATTAAGAGTAATGTTTGCGATGCGGTATCTTGTGATCAAGGTGAGCTTCCTAACCATCGGAATAATTAATTATAATTTCAAAATTTTTTGATACATTAGTTTTACATTTTCTTTATTTCGAGAATTTCAAAATTTCTTTCCCCCCTTTTTCTTTTTCACTGCATTCTTATCTGGATTTAATTCTGGTATTTATACTCTCGAGGTGAGAAAGATCACCATGACTAATTAATAATTGTTATATTCTATGTATGTGAATGTATTAGTTATCTCTGAAGAAGGCTCAAAAATGAGTCGAAACATGTAAGCGCTTTAGTAAAATAAAGAAGTTTCACGCTACGATAGCCGTGTTATTTGCGCAACATCTCCCGCGCTTGACTCCTACTGCCCTTGTTCTTTCATTGTTTTTTGATTACGGTAAATGTTAGAGCAATTTAATCATCCGCAATTTCAGCTTGATCAAGATAAACAGACAGTGATAATATATGAGATACTTGAAAATAGAATGTATAAATGTACCTATCCAGTTTAATCGTGCATGCAGGCATATTCGTTTGCCGATGTCATTTATGTAACTATTAACTTTGTCGTCGCGACTTCCTAAACATGACGTCTCACTTCTTTTCTAATGCACCGATTTTATCTCCAACATAATTGCCGTAGACATAAAAGAGTGACAGTCAAAAAGATTTATTTTATTGCAGGTAGATTTCCAAATATGCGTCTACGGATCGCCGGCACTCGATCTTCTCTATTTTTTCAATTCAAGTCTTTCCTTCGATGTCATTGAAAATAAAAGGGATATTCTATTAAATGAATACCTTGGCACTTTGTCAACGATTATGAAGCAATTGAACTGCAAGACGCAACCGCCCACCATGAAGGAACTGAAGAATATTCTAAGCTATGGAATATGATAATATCTTTTACCATTTTACCGTTTATGCTGTGCTGTAATAGGAGGCGAAAGATATGGATGAATTATTGAGCACTGGTATAAATTCAGGTTTCAAGAGCGAGAGTTATAAAAAGTTAATAATGAAAAGGCTGCCACTGTACGACGAATGGGATTTACTGGATCTCTAATGTTTACTTCATATTTAGTGATAGAAAATCAAAATGGAAAATAAATATAAATGTAGAAAATAAGTAAAAATATTAGATATAAATAGTTGTAGCTAGAGCAGCCATTCGTCCAGATTTCCGCGGAATTGTCATATAAAGTGTACGTCCGTGCGGGTTTTTTTTGAAGCGATCTAGGATTTTTATGATTTTTTATTGGATATATCTATTCGCGTTGCTCAAAATCCCTAAAAAATTTTGTACTTAAAATGAGATAAATTTATATTCGGGCGTGAAGAGAGAGAAAACGAAGATGCTGAGTGCAAGTAACGCAAACTAGATTTATTGAACTCATATTAATAACAGCTGCACAAGCATTGTCATGATTGATCTCTTACCTCCCGACCGCCGCGCGCCGTGCATCCATCGATGCACACTGATAATTTAAGTTTATAATTTGTTTTTATATTGTTTACCACGATGATGTAATAATTTACTATTTATTTAACATTTATTATATAATATTTCACTATATAATAATATCTATTATCTATATTTTAATATTGTTATATATTAATATTATTATATGTATATTATATCGATTATACTCCAGTTTCACTTTAATATTGTGATTTAATAAGTACAAAATTAATAAATATACTTTGTAACTGTTTGAAATTTTCATTATTTTTTTTGTGCAAATACGTGAAATAAATATTTTTACAACATACACATCTTTTTTTCTTACGTACTTTTTTATATTGGCAAACTATATTCTCAACCCTGTAAAAATACGTAGGAGCATGTTCGGATTTCTACCTGGATGTCATGCCATCGTTGTTGTTTACCGAATGTTAAATAAGAATGATGTGACATCCAAGGAGCACCCAGGTGAGAATCAGAACATACCTCAGAATGTATATATTCTACGTAAATCAAAAGACAAGCCTCTAGTAAATATTTAATTGTAAAATGAATAAAAAATTGGATGCGTGCAAAAATTATCTTTTAACATGTTGATCGTTTCGAGCGTATATTTAATTAGAATCTTATGATTTTGTGCTACAGTATCGATCATCGTAACGACGTGGCTAAAAAACTTCGTTACACATCGGATCCAGTAATGAAAGTAAATTATTAAAATATTTACACCTCAAATTGAATTTGTTTAATTTTTAAAAAATATCATTTGGAATTGGTGTTGTTTAGTTTTTTTTACAAATATCGTTTAGAAATTTTATTCTGATAAAACTGTTGCATTAAAGCGAATCATTACAGCGAATCATTATAGCGAAATTTTTCCTCAGTTCACGCTGCTATTACAGAATTTTATTACAATTATTATA